AAAAGGAGGGGTGGAAGCATTTTTATTTATACCTTTGACATTTAAAAGAGCATAATTAATTTGTCCTGCTTGCATTAACATTGTTGAGGAAGGTTTCAGAAAGCAAACCAGCAAAGGGAAGGGGGGAGGAAAAATAGAAGCTCGCCTAGAAAGCTTAGGATTTTTTTTCCCTCTTTCAGATGTGTAATCAATCATTCGAGTAGGAGGCAGCAAAATTGTAAAGATTCGATAGATTAAAATGCAAATGAAAGGTAGAAAAAGAAACATTAACATGGCAATCAAAGATTTAATAATCGTAAATCACGGTGGAGTTTTTTTGTTGCAGCTGCAGTTTGTGTGTTTTTTATGTTTTAATCATGTTCGTTCTATAAATAAATAATTTCTGAAACGAGACTAATTTTTCACTATTTTAACCGTGGGCTATGGCACTAAATATTTTTTTTTTAAATGCATGGAACTCCAGATTGCAAACTATCAGACTAGGAAAAGGGGAAAGATAGCTAAGTTGGATTAGTTCACATTTGAAATTTTAAGTATAATGTCTCTGCAGTGCCGACCGCTTCACTTTCCAATTGAAATCCTTATAAAGTTTATTTGGAATCATGAATGTTTACGTACAAACAGACAACCGGCGATTTTTTACAAGGCTAATAGTAGCTCCAACCCTCATTTCTGGAGGAAATATGGGGGGGGTGGGGAATATATATATATATATGTATGTGTGTGTGTATGTATTTTTTTTCCTTTTCCCTATATATGTACATATAGGAAAAAGAACAATAACACTTAGGCTGTATTACGTCCAAATTAAAGCGTTGCTAAATTTCCAAGGGAAGATTAAAGAGTGGAAAACCTGGGGAGAGAGCTGATCAATGCGGTGAAGGACAAGAAGGAGAGTATTTGCTCTCCCCTCTCGGTTTAGCGCGGCGCCTTAAAGGGAGGCTCCGGGACTGCCTAGGATGGCTGTGGCAAAACCAGCATCCTTCTGTTCTGGCTCATACGGACTCGGCTTTGGTACCCCCAAGTCCCGGGTTATGGGGCGCACTGGCTCGTCCTCTGGGAAAACGGCTGGGAAATAATTCTTTGAACTTTTGGGCTCAGTGGATGGAGTTCATTTTGCGCGGCGACGAGGGGGAGAAATGAGTTAATCTTTACTTCGTTGGTAATCTTTATAGAGCCGAGGGAGAGAGAAGGGAGAGGAGGAAAATCCCCCGTGGGCTGCTCCGGTCTGGGGACTTGCGGCAGCGCTGCCGTCTCTCTTCCGAGCGCTCGGCGAAAGGAAACCGGTACAAAAACCAGCGAAATGCGGAAAACGAGCCGCGTTCCTGGGACCTTCTCCTCCTCGCCGAGGGGGCTCATGCCAGTCCTGTTCCCCCCTCCTCAGCTCCTCCGGTGCGCCTGGCAGCGCTCCCCGCCGCCGGACCTTTTCCCGGGCGGCCGCCGCTCCGCGCCGCGGGGCTCCGCGCATCCCCCGCGGCCGAGAGAATACTGCCGGGAAGGGCCCCGAGGAGCCCCACCGCAGCACCCCGCATGGCAGTCCCCCATGCGGGTACTCGGGATTTGGGGGTAGAATTCACCAATAGGTTTTTTTCCCAGCCAAATCACTTTATGCCCACTTCAATTTTTTTTTTTTTTTTCCTTGCTAGAGCCCTATTTTTAAACCCCCCCTTCCTCTCCCCGGACTGGGGGGTCCCAGCAGGACGGCCCCGCCGGGAGCTGCACTGGCTCTGCACGCCGGCTGCCGGGGCCGCGCTCCGGGCGCTGCCCTGGACTTGTTGTCTGCCAGGCGGGGAGCGGGGCCGGGGGGGTCCGGGGCCGGGGGGTCCGGGGGGGCCCCGCCGCCTCCCGCAGCCCCTGACCCCGGCATGCACGGCGCGGTTCCATTGATCATCCCGGCCCGCCACCCCCTCCCTTTATGAGATAATGCAATTACAAACATCAATAAGGAGCTGCGAGGGGAATCATTATGCGGTGACAGTGATAAATGACGGTGCAGAAACCCCATGCTTTTTTTTTTTTTTTTTTTTTTTTTCCCCTAACAATCCAGGGGCTTTGGGGGCTGAGCACAGTCACCAAGGTAACAGATGACATCCAAAATGGCACCAAAGGAAAAAAATGAACAGTCTTTCTTTCGCCTTTCACTCTTTCACTCCAAAAGAGTTAGTTGGGGCTTTGGAAGCAGCTGCCACACAGGCATGCGGGTATTTCCACACGCATTAAAGGGACGGGGAAGGCTTGCTGGCTGTCACACACAAAGCACCAGCCCGGCCCGGGAGCTGAGCAGCCACCTCCGGGAGGCACCGGGAGCTCCCACCCCAGGCGCGATCGCCGCCGCGCCGCGCCACGCACCGCCCGTCCCTGCCTGCGGCCGGGGACAGCCGCCTCCTCCCGGCCCGCGGGAAACATCCGTTCGATTTTATATATGAATAGAAATAGAAATATATATACGTTATCATCACGGGCGGCGTAGCAAGGTCAGGGGAGGAGAAAAATATTTTTCTGTTTTCCACGCAGTTTTAGGACGCGCGGAGCCAGACGCCAGTAGCGGGAACTTTACGCGCAACAGCGCCAGGGGTGGAAATATTCACGGCGCGACCGAAAAGTGCCGCTTCTGAGCCCAAAAGTACCTGTGGCTGCGGGTGGCACGGCCGAGCCGGCAGGGCAGGCACAGCCCACGCGAGTCCCTCTGCCTGGAGTGGGACTAGGATGGAATTTGCTGTCCTTCGAAAAAAAACCCGGTTGGGGGTCAGGGTGCCCATCCCAGACGCAGGGCAGGCCCCGCGCAGCGGTGCCCTCAAATTCCGCGCTGAGGAGTCTGGCCCCTCTCCAGCCTCTGTGAAAGGGTGGGAGGGAAGAGCGCTGGGCTCGCCTTGCGCGGCAGCGCACGCACCCGGCTCCGCGGGGCACCGCGCCCGGGGGAGGCACAAAAATAAAGGGGGACGGGGGAAATCGGGGCCAATATTAAAAAAAAAAAAAAATCCAACCAAAAAAAAAAAAAAAAAAAAACTAACCGAAAAATAAACTAAAACCAAGAAAACCAACAAAACAGAGCGTCGCTGAAGGCTGCGCATACTTTAGTCCGGCAACGCGCAACATCCGCGGCGCTCCGCGGGCGGCCCCGAAGCCCCCGCATTCCCCCCCCCGCGTCACTCTCCCGAGCCCCCAAGAGATGGCAGTCGAAGACGGCTTTCCTCCTC